AACAGCGGTAAAGCAACGTGGCTAGCCCACCGAGAGCCAAGGGAACATCGGTAAAGCTACGTGGCTTAGCCGCCGCAATACTGTCATCGAAATACTTCTACAAGAGATTTTTCTCCTCCACCATACGCTGTTATCATGAGGAAACAAAATTATACCAGGTAGATGTAGCTGGACGTCTTGTTGCCAAAACGGGCAGCTAGAAGGCACATAAGAGTAATCAGCACCAGCACCCGTCCATTAGCTGAAATCAGCCCTAAAAAAGTGATTTTCTACGTTCGATTTAAGGGAGGTAAAGTACTTACTCGGCTCGTCCATTCAACGTGACCGCAAAATTCAAACGATACTTATCCACCAGCACAAGTAAGCAACGAAGGCCGTTGACCGCTTCAGCCACTAAATTTCATACCCTATGGCAACAATAGCAGAGAAGAAAGCGAAACTCTCCGTAAGCAGCCAGCCTAGAAGTGAGCAAAAGAAAGATGCGATGAAATCGATTCCGTATCGCCAAGCCGTAAGCAGTATCATGTACTTAATGGTCGGCACGCTACTCGACATGGCATTTTACATGCGAGAGGTCGGTCCATTCCTAGCGAATCCAGATATGAATTACTGGAAAGCAGGCATCCGTGGTCTAAAGTATCTATCCGGAACGAAAGAAGACAATCTTCTAATGGGAGGCTCGACCGAGATTACCTCGGATAACCTAGCTGATCAGGTGATTACCTATAGTGGCTCTGACTACGCCAACTGCCCCGACACAAGAGGCTCCGTTGGAGGATACGTGACAATGCTACAGATAGCTCCAACCTACGGTTTTCGTGAAAGCATCATACTGTAGTTCTCTCCCCAACAGAGGCAGAATATATCGCCTTATGTCACTGCATGCATTTAAGAGATGATATTTCTTAAACTTCTCCTTAAAAAACTTTGCTTTGCTACAACGCAGGCTAACCGTATATACGAGGATAACCAGAGCTACATCAAAATCAGCTACAACCCCGAACTTCACGAACGATCAAAACATATACACGTGCGATACTGTTTCGTACAAGAAAAGTAGAGCGGCATGAATTCAACGCCACCTACTGCAATACAAAAGAGATTATAGCTGACACCTTTACTAAAGCTTTAGACAATCACCAATTCAGAGAACTAAGGACCAAGCCCAGGATGAAATCCCTGAAAACAGAATCCGGTTACTCAGTATAGAAATACACTGATAATACAAACGCATGAAGCATGTCTATATTCTGCGTTCTTTTTAGAATTTTTCCCACTGGGTTTTATCTTTTTGTTTGTTCGCACAAGGTTTTCCCTCGTTGAGGTTTCCCTGGCCAAGTACCGAGTTATCTGGACACAAGCGTTTATGAATATTAATCCATGCAAACAGCAACTTTGCCATAGATACACCAGTACATCTCACAGTCGCTGTCACAATCATCATTTGTGTCAGTTGGTGTCATAATCTGTCGTTTTGTGGTTTCAGTGTGACATATGGAATCATCATTAAATTTCCCCACTTTAGTAGTATCTGGTGGAGTGGTGGCCACGTGTGCTCGAGAAGCCCCCTCCTCCAGCGTGGCGATGATAACTGGCGTAAGCTGCAGTGCTGTCCGTGGCACCCGCTTCGTCTTCTCCCTCATACATGTAGAAGCGCCCTTTGCAACTGAAAAGAGCTTGGTGTCCACCGAAACAGCCTCTGCCGATGCTAACATAGCGATTAACCCTTCTGGCGCAGCTTCATAATATGGTCTCTCAGTCTCAGAGACTGCTTCAACCTCAGGAACGGCCTGAGAAGCTGTAGTGCACGATGCGACCGTCGCAGTGTGCGTGGCAGCAGCTCGAGCAGCCGCTCGTGCCTTCTTTTAAGCGCGCAGTCGCTTTGCTGCTGTGTTTTGCTTCTATATCTTCTTCATGCGCGGGGGAGCCTGCTTCGTAGCAGCAGCCGGTGCACACGGCACGTTGGGCTCCATCCTTGAGTTCCTACCAGGCGTGTCGCTTATCGGCCTTCTTCCCTAGCGGAAAACCGCAGGAAAAGTTGGATCGGCTTGCCTAAGCGACTTTCTTGGCGGACTGAGGAAATGTCCTTTAAAAAAGGTTTTACCTCTGTTATAACAGTCAGTTTGATTAAATATGTTCAGAGGCAGGGAGGCTCTTGAAGTCGCCTCTAAACAGTATGATTACCTTGAAAGAATATCTCTAAGATATTATAATGAGATTTAGGAGGTCCTGTCTCTGATGTTATGACTGGCTTAAACTATACTAGCACTAATGGCTGGTGTGCAGCTACTAGTGGCTTTTAAGACTAACAAAGTGCTCACTTCGTCTTTTGACGCCTACAAGTAACTTCTTCTTCTCTCTTCTTCTTCTCTACCTGCCTACCGAGCCATTCAAATGAATCGCTCATTCTTACGAGATCAACTCTATCCATATCCTTTGATCTTTTGATGATCATTCGCAGGATATGGACGCCGTTCCTCTACTCTCTATCATTAGGCTTTGCTCCACGCAGCCCGACTGGATTTTAGCGTAACGTTACTACTGTTTTAATAGGAGCGCCTTTAAATAGGATTAAATTTAATAAACGGATCTTGCAACAGACACAATTACGTGTTTCTACCGAACCACGATGTCATGGAGTACTAAGTGTCGTTTTTTCTCAAACCCGGGATGGCTGCAAACTTCCCACCGTCCCCACAGATACATGTTACGGTGAGATGACGAGACCAGAAATTTATACTACCCATAGGCTGGTAGGCAGCTTAGAGATGGTTTCAGATTTAAAGAATAAAAAAGGTTAAAATACACAAAAACGTTTTAAACAGTTTAGAAGTATCCAAAATTGCAAAATTCATAAGGAATCCCAAAGGTAACCGGGCGAAAGAGAGGATTGGGCTTTGCTCATGGCGACAAGGGGGGAAGATACTGGCAGCGGGCCGCCACAATGGGAGAACATACAGCAAAGATCATCTGGGGATACTCCCCGCAATCTACACGCAGCTTTCGGAAGGTTCCGCTCGCCTCCCAGCTCGGCACTACGGAGGACTCTTCGCTACAGCCCTTACCAAAGAGGTTCCTCTCCGCTAAGCCCGCCAGAGGATCTTACGTCGCCGGCAACAGGCTCGCGTAGGGTGATGTTCTCGCCTCCACCTCACTCGCCACCTCCATCTTGACCCCCTTCGACACCAGCACCAGCGCGACCCCCCCCCCCTATGCCAACCGTGGCGGAAGTACCTCGCTCAGCAACACCATCGCGTCCTCCACGTGCTTCTACTCCTACACGATCGCCCAGGCCTCCTCACGCTTCGTCTTGGTCGCCCATGACTCCTCTTAATCCCGTGCGATCGCCTCGTACTCCAGGGTCATCTTGTCATTTTCGAGTGTCTCCACTGAAGGTCGGACGCCCGCGTGATGAAATCTGGAATCACTATACTATTGAGCGTGAGAATGGGAAGAAACACGGGCGGTACAATTACTGCGGAGTTCTTAAAAAGAACGGTTAGCCTAGTGGAAACTTGTTGGATCACTTGGTGAAGCCTAAAAATGCCCTAGTGTTCCCAGAGATGTTCAAATCTCTCTCCGACCTACTATAGCCCCTTCGCCAACACTACCGCCGTCCCAACACACTGTGGAGCCCGTAAAGAACGATCTTGACCAAGAAGCATTTGAAATGGCACTTGCACGAGTGTTTTTTGTCTGCGCCCTGCCATTCATATTACTGGAAGCTCAAGTGATTCGAGATTTCATGGCTATGGTGGCACCGACACTGAAGTTGCCGTCGAGGCAAAAGCTAAGCACGGTGCTTCTACAAAACGTACAAGATGATGTTCGTATGAAAGTGGTCGATCTGATCAATAATCATACCTACGTGTCACTCGTGACCGATGGTTGGACGGATACCAACAGCTCGAGTATTATAAACTTCATGGTGGTTTCTCCAGGGATGCCTTCCATGGTTTGGTCGTCGTGGTTCACTAGATCAAAACAACACACAGCCCGATACTTTGCGGATAAAATTGAAAAAGTAATCGGTGAAATTGAGCGCGAGACTACTGCTCAAGTCGTTGGTGTTGTAACTGACAATGCGAGCAACATGCGGAGTGCGACGGAACAAGTTCAAATTCGGCGTCCAAATGTGGTCAGTGGTGGCTGTGCGGCTCACGTCCTAAACCTACTCATGCAGGATGTATCTCGTTTTGATGCCGTCAAAGCTGTAGTGACAAGAGCAGTGGCTGTCACACGCTTCGTAAGGGAACATTTAGCTCTGTTGGACGAGTTTAAGCGATTGCAGCGTGGAATTAGAGACTCTGGAATGAGGGCTCGAAGTCTCGTATTGCCTGTACCAACACGTTGGTATTCTATCCACGCCTGTATGCGGAATGTACTAAACAACCGAGAAACGCTGGAAACACTCTTTTTGGACCCGAGCTATGAAACGTTTCTAGATCGTTATCGTGGAACTCCGTCCAATCGAAAAAACTACGCCTCGTTATCGAGTTGGTTCGGGATGATGGCTTCTGGAGCAGTTTGCGAACTATTGTGCGTATGTTTGACCCCATTATAGAAGCTCTCCGGGCTCTAGAAGCGGACAATGGAAACATTTCCGGAGTGTATACATGGCTTCGATAGTTACGGTATCATATAGAGTATGGTGTGACTTCGGCTAATGAAGAAGAACCGGAAGGAGAGTTTGCAGTATTAGATGCTAATGGAGAAGAACCAGAAGCAGCGTTTGCAGTATTAGATGCTATTGGCTCCGAAGAAGAAGACCATGATCAGGCTGTAGATGGGATCGGGATGCTCAGTCATGCAGCCGAAACCATGTCGACGACTACTTCTGGCCAAGAAAATATGAACCAAACTGCCACTGCTGACCTTCCTGATGGCGGCGAGTATCAACGTATTACCGCAGTTCCACTTGGTCAACTTCAATTTTTTTTCGCAAGAAGATATTAAAACGATGGAAGTACGTTCATTCAAACGCAATGGCTGTCGCGTTTTTACTTGACCCGGCCATTAGCTTCGACGACTTCGTCGGTGATGATGACGAAAATATAGATGAGCAAGTTTGCATGCTGGCAACACGATGCGGCCTGATGACTCCTGCGAATATGGCCAAATTGACCGCCGAGATTTTCAAATTTAAATGCATGAAGCGGAGGGGTGGTGAAGATCTACGAATGAAGTATTTAGAAGCATCTCCACGTGATTATTGGGGTGCCAAACACGAAAAGAACTACCCTCTTCTCAAAAAGGTAGCTTAAATGGTATTTGCGGCTCCTACGTCGTCAGCAGCCAGTGAGAGGGCCTGGAGTATATTCGACCACATTCGCTCCAAGCGAAAGAACAGGCTATCAGTTCAAAACGTTGAAAGGCTTGCCTATATCTACATCAACTATGGCACAATTCAAAGTGATGACATCGACCTCGCAAGGCATCAATCGTGTCCTGAAAGTGTAGATATCCTCAATTAAATACAACGCGCTCTTATGACTTATATCTGTAGCTGAAAACCCATAAGTCATTCTTTAATTTGCAGCACAAACAAGCATGCCCATCCTCCCTCTAGACGGTCTTTGGATAGAGCCCACCTCGCAGAATTGTATCACTAATGCGTCGTGGTTGATCAGCAGCGCCTGAAGACTACGAACGGCATCAGCCACCGTCTGCGTATTGGGCGGATACTGCAGGCAACTGACACGTAAGATAATCTTCATGAAATCGGTGAGGTAGAGTTTCTTGTGACCCGGTGTCAGATAACTAAGCAACTTACTAGAGCGAATTGCTTCATGAAGGCATCGCGAATTTCCTCCGTGTAAAGGAATCGGTTCATTCGCATCCTTCGGGGCCACTGGCTGTGTATTCCCCTGCATTAACATGTCCACAGCTTTGACAGGCGTATCACAAATATTGACTAGAACAACACAAATGGGAAGTCAGTCACGCACAATATCGTAGACACAGGCAGAAAAGAGGTAACGTACTTCGGCAGTTCCAAGAACTAGAGCTGTGTGAGGCTGCGGTCCCGGTTGGCCTTCTCTTAGGCTTCTTGCATGAGCTCGAGGCTTGCAGCTACTGCCAGGTCGGGCAGTGAGCAATGCGCCAACGTCTCGTGCAGTATCATAGCTTGTGCTGGCACTGGCAGTGAAGTAGTGCCGCAATGCTGCTCAATGACCCTCAAATGAGAATATTCTGTCTGTTAGTTTTAGATAGTTTTAAATTTTAAATGGAATTTCGGACGTTTTCTGGAAGTATATTAGACAGTTTTAAATTAGTCCAAAACCATCCCTAAGGCAGCTGTAAGCATTATAAACAAACAAATTGTTGTTCATTCAGTTTTAAATACAAGTGTTACATGTAGTAGTGGAGGCTGGCATTAGCAGGCTTTACCGCATGCAACGTACGTGTACATGTAGTATTGCTTGATGTCAAAGCCCAGCCTTTGAATCCAAAGCGCTCCTGGGAATAGGCAACGTATGACTGTCACCTCATTTTTCATGTTTCTACTATATGTATGAATAGGTACATCCACAAGGTATACTACTTACAAAGCACAAAGGATACGTTTGTGCTGAGACTGACACTAGTTATTGTAATATGTGGAATATTAATATATGTATCTAAATCGAAACAATCTTTGAGCTAATGTGAAATAAGGTGCTGGGATAAGCTCACTTCACTGGATTTGTTTCGTATTCTGCAAAAAACGGTTTGATCACTGCGGCTAGCTTGTTTTCAAAAATCAGTTTAATGCGGTTTGAACGGTTTGATGCTATTATATCAAAATGTTGTCGGACAAAGCAATTCTAAGATGCGTTAGTGCAAAATCTTGCTTAGGTGATGTAAAGCATACATTTCCCGGGGGCCAGCATGATACGATTGCAGTGACTGCTTTCCTCATATTTTCGCTCCTTTTTTCAAATTAAAAAGATTAGTTCACTTCACGTTAAGAGAAGTTGAAAACCAAGAATGAAACGCCTCAAATAAATCACCAAACGATGAAAATATATCTTACAACGGGACTCGACGATAGTCTAAATAGACTCGAACTGCAAATGCTTTCTCCGGGCGCAAACAAATACAAGGAAAACTTTACCAAATGATTACTTTTTTCTAGGTTCTGCGGATTGAGGCACTCAAAGTAGAATGATCACATTGGCACCACCTCTTTATTACTTGAAAAATGTTGATAAATGACTGAGCTAAGATAAAAAGTGTGACGGGACGCACACCGGGGGACCCACCACTCGGCAGTACATCACCTTCTTGGAACTACTTCGTGGACGCACACAACCGTAATTATCTCGGGCAATATATTTTTCTGAGTGGACCTTACGAAGGCAAGACACACTCTGTGTTGAAGAAGATGCATTTGACAATGTCCAGAAGATAAATGTCCTGTAGCAGCACTGGCCCAAGCTTTATTAAAGCTTTAGACAAGCACCAGTTCAGAGAACTAAGGGTCAAGCTCAGGGTGAAATCCCTGAAAGCAGAATCCGGTTACTCAGTATAGAAATACACTGATAATACAAACGCATGAAGCATGTCTATATTCTGCGTTCTTTTTAGAATTTTTCCCACCGGTTTTTTTTTTGTTCGCACAAGGTTTTCCCTCGTTGGGGTTTCCCTGACCAAGTACCGAGTTATCTGGACACAAGCGCTTATGAATAATAATCCATGCATAACAACAACTTTGCCATAGATACGCCAGTACATCTCGCAGTCGCTGTCACAATCAGCATTTGTGTCAGTTGGTGTCATAATTTGTCGATTTTGTGGTTTCAGTGTGACAAATAAAATCATCATGAAATTCCCCCACTTTAGTGGCATCTGGTGGAGTGCTCGAGAAGCCCCCGCCTCCAGCGTGGCGATGATAACTGGTGTAAGCTGCAGTGCTGTTCGTGGCACCCGCTTCGTCTTCTCCCTCATACATGTAGAAGCGCCCTTTGCAACTGGAAAGAGCTTTGTGTCCACCGAAACAGCCTCTGCCGATGCTAACATAGCGATTAACCCTTCTGGCGCAGCTTCATAATCTGGTCTCTCAGTCTCAGAGACTGCTTCAACCTCTGGAGCGGCCTGAGAAGTTGTAGTGCACGATGCGACCGTCGCAGTGTGTGTGGCAGCAGCTCGAGCAGCCGCTCGTGCCTTCTTTTGAGCGCGCAGTCGCTTTGCTGCTGTGTTTTGCTTCTATATCTTCTTCATGCGCGGGGGAGCCTGCTTCGTAGCAGCAGCCGGTGCAGACGGCACGTTGGGCTCCATCCTTGAGTTCCTACCAGGCGTGTCGCTTATCGGCCTTCTTCCCTAGCGGAAAACCGCAGGAAAAGTTGGATCGGCTTGCCTAAGCGACTTTCTTGGCGGACTGAGGAAATGTCCTTTAAAAAAGGTTTTACCTCTGTTATAACAGTCAGTTTGATTAAATATGTTCAGAGGCAGGGAGGCTCTTGAAGTCGCCTCTAAACAGTATGATTACCTTGAAAGAATATCTCTAAGATATTATAATGAGATTTAGGAGGTCCTGTCTCTGATGTTATGACTGGCTTAAACTATACTAGCACTAATGGCTGGTGTGCAGCTACTAGTGGCTTTTAAGACTAACAAAGTGCTCACTTCGTCTTTTGACGCCTACAAGTAACTTCTTCTTCTCTCTTCTTCTTCTCTACCTGCCTACCGAGCCATTCAAATGAATCGCTCATTCTTACGAGATCAACTCTATCCATATCCTTTGATCTTTTGATGATCATTCGCAGGATATGGACGCCGTTCCTCTACTCTCTATCATTAGGCTTTGCTCCACGCAGCCCGACTGGATTGTAGCGTAACGTTACTACTGTTTAAATAGGAGCGCCTTTAAATAGGATTAAATATGATAAACAGAGCTTGCAACAGACACAATTACGTGTTTCTACCGGACTACGATGTCATGGAGTACTAAGTGTCGTTTTTTTCTTAACCCCGGGATGGCTGCAAACTTCCCACCCTCCCCACAGATGCATTTTACGGTGAGATGACGAGACCAGAAATTTCTACTACCCATAGGCTGGTAGGCAGCGATAAACATTATAAACAAACGAATTGTTGCTCATTCAGTTTAGCTACAAGTGTTACATGTAGTAGTGGAGGCTGGCATTAGCAGGCTTTACCGCATGCAACGTACGTGTACATGTAGTATTGCTTGATGTCGAAGCCCAGCCTTTGAATCCAAAGCGCTCCTGGGAATAGGCAACGTATGACTGTCACCTCATTTTTCATGTTTCTACTATTTGTATTAATAGGTACATCCACAAGGTATACTGCTTACAAAGGACAAAGGTTACGTTTGTGCTGAGACTGACACTAGTTATTGTAATATGTGGAATATTAATATATGTATCTAAATCGAAACAATCTTTGAGCTAATGTGGAATAAGGTGCTGGGATAAGCTCACTTCACTGGATTTGTTTCGTATTCTGCAAAAAACGGTTTGATCACTGCGGCTAGCTTGTTTTCAAAAATCAGTTTAATGCGGTTTGAGCGGTTTGATGCTATTATATCAAAATGTTGTCGGACAAAGCAATTCTAAGATGCGTTAGTGCAAAATCTTGCTTAGGTGATGTAAAGCATACATTTCCCGGGGGCCAGCATGATACGATTGCAGTGACTGCTTTCCTCATATTTTCGCTCCTTTTTTCAAATTAAAAAGATTAATTCACTTCACGTTAAAAGAAGTTGAAAACCAAGAATGAAACGCCTCAAATAAAGCACCAAACGATGAAAATATCTCTTACAACGGGACTCGACGATAGTCTAAATAGACTCGAACTGCAAATGCTTTCACCGGGCGCAAACAAATACAAGGAAAACTTTACCAAATGATTACTTTTTTCTAGGTTCTGCGGATTGAGGCACTCAATGTAGAATGATCACATTGGCACCACCTCTTTATTACTTGAAAAAGCTCGAAAAATGACTGAGCTAAGATGAAAAGTGTGACGGGACGTCACACCGGGGGACCCACCACTCGGCAGTACATCACCTTCTTGGAACTACTTCGTGGACGCACACAACCGTAATTATCTCGGGCAATATATTTTTCTGAGTGGACCTTACGAAGGCAAGACACACTCTGTGTTGAAGAAGATGCATTTGACAATGTCCAGAAGATAAATGTCCTGTAGCAGCACTGGCCCAAGCTTTATTAAAGCTTTAGACAAGCACCAGTTCAGAGAACTAAGGGTCAAGCTCAGGGTGAAATCCCTGAAAGCAGAATCCGGTTACTCAGTATAGAAATACACTGATAATACAAACGCATGAAGCGTGTCTATATTCTGCGTTCTTTTTAGAATTTTTCCCACTGGTTTTTTTTTGTTCGCACAAGGTTTTCCCTCGTTGAGGTTTCCCTGACCAAGTACCGAGTTATCTGGACACAAGCGCTTATGAATAATAATCCATGCATAACAACAACTTTGCCATAGATACGCCAGTACATCTCGCAGTCGCTGTCACAATCAGCATTTGTGTCAGTTGGTGTCATAATTTGTCGATTTTGTGGTTTCAGTGTGACAAATAAAATCATCATGAAATTCCCCCACTTTAGTGGCATCTGGTGGAGTGCTCGAGAAGCCCCCGCCTCCAGCGTGGCGATGATAACTGGTGTAAGCTGCAGTGCTGTTCGTGGCACCCGCTTCGTCTTCTCCCTCATACATGTAGAAGCGCCCTTTGCAACTGGAAAGAGCTTTGTGTCCACCGAAACAGCCTCTGCCGATGCTAACATAGCGATTAACCCTTCTGGCGCAGCTTCATAATCTGGTCTCTCAGTCTCAGAGACTGCTTCAACTTCTGGAGCGGCCTGAGAA